ACAAGACCCAATCCTAAGCATAGCACAAAGATCGTGTAGTTCGTTTGCTAGAGCTTTGCCAATGTCAAGTATCTCTTCCTTTGACCATGAGAGCGTGTAACTCCTGGATACCGTAGGAGTGCTTTGGGTGTATCAAACGTCACAACGTAACTGGGTGACTATAAAGATGCACTACAGGTATCTCCGAAAGTATCTATTGTTTTATGCGGATCGAGACTGGGATTTGTCACTCCGTATGACAGAGAGGTATCTCTGGGCCCACTCAGTAATGCATCATCATAATGAGCTCAAGGTGACCAAGGTGTTGGCCACAGGATCATGAATTACGGTATGAGTAAAGTGACTTGCCGGTAACGAGACTGAACAAGGTATTGGGATACCGACGATCGAGTCTCGGGCAAGTAACGTACCGATTGACAAAGGAATTGTATACAGGGTTTGATCGAATCCTCGACATCATGGTTCAACCGATGAAATCATCGAGGAGCATGTGGGAGCCAACATGGGTATCCAGACCCCGCTGTTGGTTATTGCCCGAGAGTGGTCTCGGTCATGTCTGCATGTCTCCCGAGCCCGTAGGGTCTACACACTTAAGGTTCGGTGACGCTAGGGTTGTTAGGAACACTAGTATGTGACTACCGAATGTTGTTCGGAGTCCCGGATGAGATCCTGGACGTCACGAGGAGTTCCGAAATGGTCCGGAGGTAAAGTTTTATATATGGGAAGTTGTTAAACGGGCACCGGAAAGTTTTGGGGTCATACCGGTATTGTACCGGGACCACCGGAAGGGTTCCGGGGGTCCATCGGGAGGGGCCACCCCTCCCGGGGGGCCACTTGGGCTGCGTGGGGATAGCAGCCAGCCCCTAGTGGGCTTGGCGCCCCCCCCCCCTTTGGACCCATGCGCCTAGGGTTGGGGGGGAAACCCTAAAGGGGGCGCACCCCCCTTGCTTGGGGGGCAAGCCCCCCACCCCTTGGCCGCCGCCCCCCCTAGGGATTTCCCTAGAGGGCCGGCCCCCCTTGCCCCTTCCCCTATATATAGAGGGGTGAGGGGAGGGCTGCAAGACACCACAACTCAAGGCGCAGCCCCTCCCCTCCCCAACACCTCTCCTCCTCCGTACGTGCTCGGCGAAGCCCTGTCGGAGTACTGCTGCACCAACTACACCACGCCGTCGTGCTGCCGTTGGAGCAATCTTCCTCAACCTCTCCTTCCCCCTTGCTGGATCAAGAAGGAGGAGATGTCCCCGTCCCGTACGTGTGTTGAACGCGGAGGTGCTGTCCGTTCAGCACTTGGACATCGGTGATCCGAATCACGTTCGAGTATGACTCCATCATCACCATCCCCTTGGCAAGCTTCCGCTCGTGATCTACAAGTGGTATGTAGATGCAAACTCTCTCCCTTGACTCGTTTCTTAGATGAACTCATAGATGGATCTTGGTGAAACCGTAGAAAATTTTTTAATTTTCTGCAACGTTCCCCAACAAAAACTGGTGCGCCACTAACAACCTTTTTAATAGTAGTGGCCGCCGGGTAAAGCCCGTGTGGTGTCGGCGTCGGCGGGCTCTCACTAGTAGAAAAGGGGGCTTTGGTCCAGGCCGGGTAACCCCATTAGTCCCGGTTCTGGCATTGGTCCCGGTTCGTGAGCCCAGGGGGCCGACCGGGCCACGTGGGCCATTGGTCCCGGTTCATCTAGACCTTTTGGTCCCGGTTGGTGGGATGAACCGGGACCAATGGGCCTCGCTCCTGGCCCACAACCATTGGTCCCGGTTCATGCCTCAAACCGGGACTAAAGATTAGACCTTTAGTCCCGGTTTGAGGCACGAACCGGGACTAATGGGGATGAGACCTTTAGTCCCGGTTCGTGCCATGAACCGGTACTAAAGGACCCATTTTCAAACTATACCCCCCCCCCTTGGATCGCCTTTTCAGTTTTAAAAAAAATAAAAGAAAATGATGGAAATGTCAAAAAAATAAAAGAAAATAAGTTTCCCATGTGATATGTGGTCTAGTTGTTGGGAAAATTTGCAAATGTGAATTTTGACTTTATTTGCAAAATCTCTCTGAAATTTGTAAAAATGGGCATAACTTTTGCATACTAACTCGGATGAAAAAGTTTTTTATATGAAAAATCATCTACTCGAAAAGTTACATCCAAATTTAACGGGGGGAACCCCGTTAAACATTTTCAAAATCCTCAAAAACCTAATAGAAAAAAAGTTACGGGGCTTTTAAGATCTAGAGTGAAAAAAATCGAAAAAAATTCAAACAGTGGGCAAACTGTGGTCAAACAATGGTCAAACTAATTATTCTAGAATATTAGTGTGGTTACTAAATAATTATTTCAGTTATTTCAATTTTGGTCAAATCTGGTCAAATAGTGGTCAAACTATGGTCAAACAATGGTCAAACTAATTATTCAAGAAATATTAGTGTTACTAAATAATTATTGTTTTTTAAAACAATAGTTTCAAAATAAAACTATGAAATGTGTCACTTCATGCTCAAGCAAAATTCCTGAAGGTTAATAGGATTGACATCTTAGTATTGTCAGGAAAACAACAAGTGCAGACTTGAAACGAGGGAGAATAGAACCCGGAAGTTAAGCGTGCTCAGGCTGGGGGAGTGGGAGGATGGGTGACCGTTCGGGAAGTTAGATGATTTGGAATGATGAGGGGTGATTAGAGGATAAATTGAGAAGTGATGAGGGGTGGTGATTACAGACTAGAGGTTAAAATAATTTAGAAATTTGAAAATAAAAAAATTCAAATTTTTTTTTTAAAAAAAAAATCATAAAATTTCCTTTAGTCCCGGTTGGTGTTACCAACCGGGACTAAAGGTGGAGCTCCACGTGGCCGCGCCCTTTAGTCCCGGTTCTGGATTGAAGCGGGACTAAAGGGAGAGTCATTAGTACCGACATTTTAGTCCCGGTTTCAGAACCGGGACTAAAGGCCCTTTTTCTACTAGTGTCTAACTCTCCCGCACGCGAGGTGGGCTGCGCGGGGCAACTGCGCCAAGCGAAGGCGCGAGGCGCTACGGCGTGTAGCTGAGCTCGGGCCGGCGCTGCTCGGCACGCCACGGCGGGGAGGTGGCTAGCGCGCCCGCCGGCCTCTGGCGGTGTAGGAGTTGTGGGCGCGGCGGCTGTGCCAGATCTGGGCTCGGGCAAGCCGGCGACCGGGATTACCCGCGAGCCACGAGGAGGCAGGTCGCGGACGACCAGGGCGGCCGGATCTGGCGGGTTCCTGCTATGCGCGAGGTGTGGGGCGGCTGTCACCCTTTTGTGCGGCCCATGAGCGCGCGTGAGTGGTCACCTTCAGGTTGCGCCGTCGGCGGGGTGTGGGCGGCGCGGTCGCGCGTGTCGTCATGGTGGGATGTTGCGGGAGGACACGGGCTCCTCCCTGGCGGGCGGTCCCTTGCTTGGCGCGGCCGGATCTGGCGCGCTGGCGGCTGGGGGCCTGGAGGAGGCTCGGCCAGTGCCTGGCTGCTAGCGGTTGTGTGGTGGCTCCAGGTCGGGATTGTGGACTGCGGTGGCGTGGTCTTGCAGGGCCTTCGGGTTGCTCCGGGGCTGCACCACCGGTGGTGCTCCAGCTAGTTTGTGTGGTGCAGCAAGTGGCAACTGTTGCTCCGGTCTGGTGGTGGTGTGTTGGAGGCGTCGTCCCCGGCATAGGTGTTCAGATCCCCGACGAAAGTCATGCTCGACTTCGATCTGGGCGGATGGTGAATGATGCTTTCGGGTGTGATTTTCCTTGTTGGAGGCGCCATCAAGGGGATCTGACACCTCTCCTGCTCCATGTTCTTGCCTCTCGGTGAAAACTGTATGCAATGGTGGCATCTGTGGTGTCATTACTTCGTTGGAAGCATTGCTTTGGAGCAATTCGGGTGATGGAGCACTTGGTTGAGGGTGGTGCGGTGGATCTAGAGCGGGCAACGTTTTGGTGAGCATGGAGTCTTCGGTGGTGCTTCCGTTTGGAGTTGGTTGCTTGGTCGACGTTGAGAGCAGCAGGAGCACCCTTCACATGCCAGTAACGTCGGGCGAGCTATGTCAGTTAGGCTCGTGGGATCGAAGTGGCATAGGTTTTCGCTCTTTCGGACCTATCGTTCCTCTTCGGTGTTCTCGAGGCTTGCGGATATGCTCGTCGCAGCCCGGTACAGTATGGCGGTTGTCGGTGTGCACTCTGGTAGCAGCGAAGGCGCTTGAGTGCCCGACCGGGTGTGTTGTGGGGTTTTCGCTTTCCGGCGTCTTGTATGTATCGTGGTGCTTTAGGTCTAGTCTAGCTAGGCACTGCTATGGTTTTTGCCCGGTTTTTCGCAATAAACCGAGCAGTCCATTTTTCCTTCTTTTTTTTGGCACTCGTCTTTATGCGGTGCATTTCTCTTTTGGGGGTGTTCTTGTAATGCCTTCTTCTGATCAATGAATTTGGCAGCTCTCCTGTCAACATTTCAAAAAATAAAAACAGATGCACGGCACGCACCCCGTGAGAAGGGCACAGAACCATGCCGGGCCTTCTGCGTTCACGCGTCTCCTTTGAAGTTCAATGGTACAGTACATTATTTGCCTCTGCTCGGGCAGTTGAGGCAAGCGGACGACACCCACGTTGAACTAGCACTAGCAAGTACAGCAGCTTGCCCGCACATGATCACCCTGCAGCCTGCGCTCACACTACGGCCGAGGAGATCAGATTGGCAGTTGAGTGGCACACACTGCGTGAGTGCCTACACATAGTGCCCACACAAAGCTCTTGTACATTAGAAATCTAATCCATTTCTCTTTTTTATTTTCCAGAGTTAAGACAGAGGCCGGGTCAGGGTTATGCCCCTTTCCAAAAAAGGAAAAAGAAAAAGAACACCAATGTCTGTAAAACCATACTGGCAACAGTACCTACATCAGCAGCAGTTCACACAGTGTTCTGTCCACCATATATGCATGCTTGGCCGGCCACATTTCGTTCACCCAGTTGAAGTAGCAAGCAGTAGGTTCTGTGCACATCTCAGCCCGAAGTCTGCCATGGCTCGGCTCTACCACCTCACCCTCCTCTCCGTCTTCTTTCTGCTCATCATCACCGGCCTCGTGGCTGCCGATCCGTCCGGAGGGAAGGTCGGCAAGAAGGTGACCATGACCGTCCAGTTCCCGCCTGCGGACTCGCCGCCGGGGGGGATGATCACGATCTCAACGCACTACGTCCGCGAGGATGGGGTGCACGACAGCCACGTCCATCTCGACTGCGACCACCACGAGCCGTATGCCCCCTCTCTCTCTGTGACTCCGACGAGCCGCCGTTTTAAATAGTTTTAAATAGCCGCGTGATTTACCCATAGTTTTAAATAGCCGGCTATAGCCTCGCTATAGCTCCACTATAGCTGTTTGAGGGTGTTGCCGCTAAATGATTTCATGTACAATTTGCCGCTATAGCTCCGCTATAGCCCGCTATAGCCCAGCTATAGCTGTTTTTTAGGGCCGCCACTAAATGCCTTAGCCCGCTATTTAAAACATTGGATTTACCTTGATTTTATTTCTAGCTAATCTTGCTGTTAATCTCCAGCCAGCTCGGTTCGGCCGCAAAATACCTTGTCAGGAGCCTGGAGAAGATACGAGATGAGGAGGCGTCTCCATCCGAGGTAACGTACATTTTGCCCCTCCCTATCTATATCCATCGGTTCAGAAGTCAGAACGCAATGCAAACTGCTCACATTTGCCACCTTGTTTCTGGCTTGTAGGCCTACAACATGCCCAGTCAGTGGATGGACGTCCTCTTTGAATTGGTCTCAGGGAAAATTAGGCGCGATTTACTTTATTATCGTAGCATTGTCTCTGCAAGGAGCTCGTTCGCTCGTGCGAACAATCACTCGGTCTTCTGACATTGGGTGAAGAACAGTTTGTGGAGTGCCCATTCGGGAAGCGTATCCTATGGATCATTATTTAGGCTGTAGTGATGTGGTAGCGTGCACTGTGCAGGGTGCTGGAGTACATCTGCCTTCAGTTATCTCGTGTAGCTTGGATTCTGTAGCTTAAAATATCTACCGTGTTCGTGAAAGAAAACATCTTCTTGTTCTTCTGTTTATGTATTTCTGATCAGTTTCTGACTTTCTGTGAAGTGGAGGGTCTTTATTGTGTTGTACAAACTGATTAATAGAGGGTAACTGCACAGGTATAAGAAAGACGTAAAGAAGTAGAGGGAAACAAGCAAGGAAACTGTGCACGCACCTAATAACACCATGAACAAAAGTGTCGGCTTATTATTTACATATATAATTTTTCTTAAGTCAGACCTTAGGAATAGATTCATTAAAAACATAGGAGAGAGATGTCGGATTAATTTGACATCGGGTAAAAACCGTTACAACTCACCTGCAAGATGTAGCATCACGGCCGATCTGGCTACCCACCAGAAGACCTACACTCATCGCCGAACAGTGGAACAATATCAAGGTTGCTTGCAAAGTGTCATTGTGGTCACTTCTTCCCGAGCGAGCGACTCCGATTCCACCACATATGACCAACCAAAAGCACTCCGAACAAGAAACACATGAGAACGTTGTACATCTATGCCAAACAATCAGCCAACACATTGAGGACTAGGCAACTCTGACTTCAACAACGATCCCCACAGGAGAAAGAAGCACGACTTGTACCAACATAGCCCGAACTACCCATTGTGCATGGCATCGTTCTTGCCGGGTTGCCCCATACTGCTACAGCTCCAACTTCATGGTCAGGGACATGAGAAACGGTTAAGATGAAGGGCATGCCACGACCCCGTTTATCTTGCCTCCATCATTGTTGCCACACAAACCGCAGAGACACCGGATATTAGATGCATCGATTTGACATTTTTGACTCCCAGTAAGTAAGTTCCATGCACGGTTCAACGGAAGCAACTGCCTACAATACAAAAATCCCTCTAATAATTTTTTATTACATGAGGTTATAAGACCCTGGGTTTATTCAAAAAGTGTATGTTCACTGGGCATGAATATGATGACTGGAATTGTGGGTTAAAAATGACTGGAAAGGTCAATGTCACACAGTATTGGAAAGAATATCAACAGACCTATTATATTGCGTTGAAACACATGAAGAAGGTGGGGATTTAAGTAGGAGAACACGAGAATTTCGACGTGCTAGTATCCAACACGATGTTCTATGGAGAATTTGTAGGCTACCAAGTCCAATAGTTGGTTCAGTGAACGCTTCTGTGATGTTCGAGGAATTGATCCAAATCTTAATGATCTATCCAGAGGCCCAAAATGTTTTGGATAGAACCTGGGCCTACGAGAGGGTATTGGACCTGGGCTAAGTTATGTCATGCTGGGGGTCCCGACGCTGACCTGGTGATGGGCTGACTTCCCGCCTTGTGATGTTCCCCTGGTATGTGGTAGTGTTAGTAGCACCTGAGCTTGTCAAGAGCAAGAGTGCGCCTGGGTTGAACTGAAACCTTGGCCAGGTCCTGAAGGCCTCCCAAGGATTAGTGAAAGGAAAATATTGAGAGTCGGCATTGCCACGAGGCAGGAGAATGGCATGGTCTGCAGTGCTTGGAAGCTTGAGAGAGAAGTCGAAGCTAGCCACGCGAAGAGTCCAACCTCGTGATCTATGTTTGTCGTTGAAGATGACCTACTTTCGGAGAAGTGGTTCCAGTGAGACCACGAATCATCTTGAATCTTTGAGTGATTTCATCGTGAACGCCGGGCCTGGATGCACCAAGCCCAATCCGGTTTGGTCCCCGCATGGAGAGCAATGTACCCACCCGAACTGAGTCTGGAATGGTCAAGCATGCAGTGCGAGGCAGTGTGGGTCCCAGTGAAGGTTGCGTCCCATCGCCTGCCACATCTAAACTGCCTCAAATACTTTGGTAGCAGTATATAACCGATTTCGTAGATCGAGGGTTAATTCATTGGGAAAGTGTCCATTCGTTGTGCAACAATATAAGTGAGAAGTGTTGTGTTGGTCCCAATTTTGAGGTGGTGGGTTATCGCTAGGCACC